CCAAGGACCAGCAGCCAAACAAAAGGATCTCCAGCTGACATTGCCCTACTTCACATGCCCAGCAGGACTTGGCATTTGCCTTTCTCTGGAGCTTCTCCTTTTGGGTTCCTGTGTTTGCAGTAGCTTCCCAGAAAATGCTAGGTAAATAGCCTTGTTGTTTCATGAGCAACCAATCCCATAATCAGATGAGGCTCTCCATACGAAGTGCTACCTCAGAGTTGGCCCCTTCTGTAAAGATGCTCCACGTCAGGCCCCACTCCAGACAGGTGTTCTCCACAAGGTTCCCTCCCAGGGCCTTGCTGAGGACTCTGAACCCCACTTCACAGGGCGGGTTTGGGGTATACCATGCTTCTGAAGTCTCAGCCTCCTCTTTAGGAAGCATCTGCTCCTCCCAGCAGCACCGAGAAAAGTGTGGTATGTGAACTCTGTTTTGTACCTTTTTCTTGCCCCCAAAAGTCAGACATGAGTTGCCATTGTAAGGTAATAAGGAGTGTCACTAACCTTTGAAAATGTCTTGGGCTGGTTCTAACCCCAATCATGGGAAAGCTGGAGGCACTGGGGCCAGTGTATTATGCTACTTGATTTTTTCTTTTGGTTATGTTTTCTTTATATTGTTCTCCTCTCTGTATCCCCACCTGCCACCCCACTCCCCTCATCCTCAGGGGCCAGCACTGTCCTCATGGAAGAGGTCTGTCTTCTTTCTGGTTATTACAGATTTGTTACCTCACCCTAAACTCATGTGTCTTGGGCTCTCTGCTTCCTTCTTAGTGTTCATGTATGAACTCCTTCGCCCATCCCCGGCTGGGCATCCTCTGGTTTAGACACCCACCTAAAGGCAGAGGCTTCCCTAATTGACTTCTCAAAACTTCCAGTTCAAGGATACTCTAAACTTGTGATTTAGGACTCAGTGATGCCAGAATTCTGCATTTCTAAGATTCTATAACTCAGGTTTCACAGTGCTAGAATTCTGTGATTCTAAAATTCCATGACTATGGAATCTATGCATCAAGAATTTTATGATTTTTGTGTTTCATGAATTTGCCATTGGACATTAGTGACTGTTAGCCAGTACCCATTGGCTTGGGTTTTTGTGATTGCTTTCCAGAGGAAGGAAGTCTTGGCTCTGGACTCTCTCCTCTGAAACCACTGAGAGCAGAGGAATGAGATGGCTGGATAGGTGAAGGGCAGCACACCCAGCTCCCCTGGAACACCATCGGTGGGGCATGGCCAGGGCAGCCCAGGCCTAGGCCCCGGCACTCAGTTCCCTCCACCTCCCCGTCAAGCCCCTCGTTAAAACTCCAGTATCTGAGGGTAGCAGGAAAAGCAAGCTCCTTTGTGGCCCTTCCACCCAGCTGCCTTTCCTTCCTGGCCTGCCCCATGCTCCAGAGCAAGTTTACTGAGAGCCTGGCCTGGCCAAAATGGGCAGAGGGGGAAGTAGGATTAAGCACTGGGCAGGGAGCCAATGGAGGAGATATGGGAGATTCCCTGGGGAGCTATGCAGCTTTCCCCGAAGGAGAGGAAAGAACAGAGGCGGGAAGTAGGGGTGTGGGTGAGGGCACTGGTAAGGGTGGGGTGACCGGTATTGCACTGTGGGGCTGGAGCTGAGCTTCCAGCCACTGACCCATTGGTGACAGGGGACCTCCAGCCTGGCACCCTGGGGGGCGGTCTGGTTGAGCTTCTACCCTTTGATTCAGGTTCCCGTGCCTGAGTCAGACTCCCAGGAAAACCCAGAAGGCTGGAATCAGGAGTGGGGAAACTAATCCTCCAGGGCTCCTTCCAGAGGGTCCATCTGAGGTTTGGGGCAGAACAAGGGCTGGAGCTCTGAGCTCCTGCCTCCAGTCCACAGCTGTTCCCCCACATCCCAAAGTGTCCCATTATTACATAATGTTCCCCCAATGGTTTGGTCAGACTCTGGGCTAGAGGATGGGCCCGCCTCCCAGCCACCTCCCGAGAGCTGTCTGGACCACCCCCTCCAGCCCTGAGGGCTTAGCTGAAGCAGCCAAACCCGATTTTCTCCTGGCTGCCTAGACTGGCTGGAGCAGGAAACCCTCCTCCAGGCATGGGTCCCTTGGGCCACCGTCCTCCACCCCCTCATCTTCTACTCCCACCCCCGCCCCCTCCCACACCTGTGCCACCAACCACTTCCTCCTCCATGTACCCTGGGCAGCTCCACTGCATGGACAGGTGTGGTCCAGTGCTGTCCCTCTCTGGGCCTCAGTTTGTTTTTTTAATCCTGCCTTTTCTTTTACTGTGATGGAATACACATGACATAAAGTGTACAATTTTAACCATTTGTACAACCAAGAACAGTAAGTATAGTCCTATTGCTCACCACCGCCCATCTCCAGACTGAAACTCCGTATCCCTTCCAGGGTAACTCACAGTTCCCCCCTCGCCCCACCACCTTAACCCCACCCTGCAGCCCTTGTTTTACTTTATGTCTCTGTGAATTTGACTACTCTGGTTATCCTCGCTTGTCTCATCTATAGATTGGTTGTGAGGAGGTTCCAAAAAAAAGGGGATAAGAACAGCAGTGGGCCACCCCTAGGATGGTGGTTGGAGCAGCACGGTGCACTGCCTGGGGTGTGAGAAGGAAGACCTGCTTTGTGGAATTCTGGGTGTGGCTGTCAGGGTGAAAGGTGCAAGGGCAGGGAGTATGCCCCTCTGGTTTCTGGTGATCTCTCTGGGAGACTGAAAGAGAAAGAGAGCATCACCCCGGACTAAGTCCCCTTGTTACCGGAGTTCAGAGCCCTCGCCACAATTTAGTACAGTGCCTTGTGTGATCCGTTTAATGCGTCTCCCATAGAGCTGCAACTCCCACCAGAAGAACTCCCACTGACTTGCTCACTGTTTTATCTCCAGAACTTGGCACCCTCCCTGGCACACAGCAGGCACTACTGACTGAGACAGAGTTTCAGATTGAAAAGCAGAAGCAGAGGCACTCCAGGGGCTGGAGACCAGCCAGGCCAGCTCACCTAACCCAGGCCCCTGCTCCAAGCTGCCACACAGCCCAAGTCTTCTCGTCTGGCCTGGGAGCCCAGTTTTCTCAGCCTCCGGGGAGCTCTGGCAGGGTGGGAGACAGTGAGCCGTATCCAGTCATCCACAGGGTCACCTAGACTGGGGTGGTGGGTGCCCTCTGGCTGCCGCTGCCTCTGGGAGCCTGGAGGGGGAAGGGCTGTGGAGGAGCCAGCATTGCAGAGGCAGTTAAAAATAGCCAGAAGAGATGATGTCATCGGGTTCCCACAGCTCAGCACCCCCTCACTCACACACATACACACTTACTCTCACAGACTCAAGTGTGGGCATACACACACACACACACACACACACACACACACACTTATATGTAGGGGGAGGTGTCTGGGTTCCAGGGCCGGGGCAGGGAAGTCTGGTGAGTGTGTCTGCATGTGGTATGTTTGTCTATGTTCCTGGGTTTGCATGAGTTTGACCGCATGTGTCTACATGCTGTGTGCTTGTATCTGATGCATGCATATCTGTGTCTGTTCATTTGTAGGCATGTGTATGTTACATGTGTCATGTGGGGAGGTCTGTGTATCAGTGTCTGTGTATATTTATAGGCATGTCCTTGCATGCATATGTATTTGTTGCATTGTGCATCTGTGAGTTCATTTATATTTTTACATGTCTGCAAGTGTTCATGGATTGTGTCATGTGTATTTATATGTGTGGGCCCCCCTTTGGGCCTTGGACACTAACCCAGTCACCTTCTATTTCTAACTGAGGTTCAGCACCTCCCCCTCCCAACACCTCAGCTCCCACCCAGCACTGTCAATGAATTCTCTCTGTCCCTCCCCTTCTCCAGGTCCCATTCTCTGGCAAGCCTTGGAGGACACAGGCCCAATTCATTTTCTCCCCACAGGCTTCCTGAACCCCAGGGGCCAGGCCAAAGGTGTCAACCCTCAGGGAAGGGAGCCCTGGAAATGGAGCCAGATCTTCAGACAGCGAGACACACACACTAACCCATGCATAAAGTGACACATTAGAAACAGAGTCCCTCACAATGTTTCCTGTCACTGAGACACAATGCCACAGAGACACACCTCACAGAAACCCAGTTACAGCCAATGACACGTGGGTGTACACGCAGAAAACCAAGTGGAAAATCACCAGACCAGAATGCTTAGCACCCTCCCCCTCTCTGAACTCAAACTCGGTCTTGCTCCACCTCCAAAAGTCCACCTCATCTATTTTCCTGTCCTGGAAAATACTGACCTCAGAAAGACACTTGGGGGCTACAGGCGGTACACCCTCCTCGGAAGCAACCCTCTCCTCCTCCAGGCTAACCCCACTCCCCTCCTGATCTTTATTCCTCTTAGCAGAGCTGTTGCCTCTCTCTGGTACATCCCTATCCTCACGAACACACCTTAACACTCACAGCTGGCCACAGGGCCACGTTCAGTTGCAAGGGTGCACCAGCCACCTGTCTTCTTGTACTCCCTCTGTTCTGGTCTCACACACACACACACTCACACACACACATCAGCAGCTACACCTACACACTGACCATTCCAGGCACACAGAGCCACATATGTCACACTTGAGAACTCCTGAGGTTACACTCAAGCAGTGAAAACTCTTTCATTCTATCCTTTCTGATCTGTGCCTCTCTCTCCCTCCCCAAGCACCTGGCTCTCTGTATGTTCCAAATGTCTGTGGAGACCCTTATCCCTGTGCAGATAGGAGTGCAAGGCAGGAAGTCCCTTACCTCATAGTGGGTATCAAAAGGTGAAGCCAAAGATGGGGAGATGGTGTGTGTTGCTGACCTTGTCCTGTCCTTCCACTGTCTAACTGTGATCCCTGTGGCTGTCACTGAAGCCTGTCCCTGCCCTCATACCCCGCAGAGTCAGCTGGAAACACCTCAGAGTGGAATAGGCAGTTGGAGCAGAAATGATTGTATTTGGCTGCTATTCATCACCCATGACCCCCAGAAGATGCAGATCCGGAGCCGGTTAAGCTTCTGGACTAGTTTCTGGGCATTTCTAGAGGATCAGAAAGCTGCCAGGTTGACAGAGGCGTCTGAGAACTGAGGAGAGGAAAGAGAGGGAAGAGTGTGAGGAAGGCGGCAGTTTTGGAAGCTCCACAGCTCTTAGATTCACCACCTCCCCAAGCCCTCCATTTCCCGCCAATTCGTCCTCCATTAGGGTGCTCAGTCTTTCGGATGCCTGCCATCAAGACTTCTCTGTACCTTTGGGGCGATATTTCACAGAGCGTGTGTCCCCTCGAGTGCCTATGCAGGGCTAAGGTAGGGGTAAATGCAGTGGCCCTGTTTCTCCAACCCCAGTCCTGGCTCAGGGCCCTTGGCTAACCTTGCATTGGAAGGATCCACACACTGGTGGTGACAGGGTGGCTGTGGTTGATACCCCTGGCCATGGCAGCAAGATTGGTGGCTGTGGTGGTGGCAGCTGGGCCTTGGAGTTTCTGCCGGTACCTTCTGTGGCTGCACTTGAACATCTTGGGAAACCTGGGCCGAGGCCAACCCACACCTGGCCTGCGGTAGGGGGAGCGCAAACCCCGAGGCCGAGGGGCACGGGCAAGCTGAAAAGGCCCCATGGGCACAGAAAACTTCTGTACCATGCCCAGGGGCGCTGCTGGCCAGGGCAGCTGAGGTCTCTATGACATACAGTCTGCATGTGGGTGGGGCTCTTTATTACAAGGCCTGGCCCCAGCCCCTCCCCACAGGTCAAGATCTCTCACAGTTCTCTCCATGGATCAGTCCAACCAGAAAACCTCATCTCATCCCCTTGGAAGAATGGAACTCTTAGTGGGGGAAAAATCACTCTTTTACCTTCTCACTTATCCACATTAACAATATTAACAATTTTTATTGAGCACGTATTGTGTGCCCAATATGGTACCAAGTACTTTAAAACACTACCTCAATTCTACAACAACCCTACAAGGAGATTCTATAATTATTCCTATTTCACATACAGCCAACCCTTGTTATTGATGGTAGTTATGTTCCAATGAAGCCACCACTGGGAACACTGAATTAGCAAATACCATGTCAGTATTCCTAGGAGAAATACAGGGTTCGAGTCCTACCAGGTCATAACATTTTCCTCAATTGATTGATCAGTACATCCCCAGGTTTTATGTGTTTTTCAGTTTAAAGACAATTTAAACATGACTGTTGGCTCATTAACATTGAATTCACAGCCAATAGCACTACGACTTATACCTGAATGAAGTTCATAGGACACATGTATTTCTTCTGCAAATCACATCACAACCTGCCTGTGCTTAGCAACACTAGACAGCATTTTCGCATGGCTTGAAAGTCCATTTTAAACAACAAAATCACCAACAAAAAGCCCCGGAATATAAAAAAACATGACCGTCAATAGGCCAGAAAAAGAACCCTTATTTCCATGATAAGAGCTTCAGTGAGAAGGCAGGGTATCCTCTTGTTCAGCCTCTGCTGAGAACGTGTGTGCTGGCCGACTCCAGTGTTTTGCAGCTTGGCACGTGTCCATGGATAACTACAAAAGTGTCATGAATATTGGTTTGGGGTTACAAATAAATTTTAGGGAGTAGGAAAATGCACACACATGTAATCCAGGAGGAATATGCAACCCTCATCCATGAATGATGAGGATTGGTGTTATAAAAAAATTGAGGTTCAGGTGAAGTCACACAATCAGAGGCAGGCAGGGGTTCAAATCCATCATGGCCAAGGTCCAAAGCCCAGACATTTAACTCTTGCTCTTCTGCACTTGTGAATTCAATCATTCATTCATTCAATCAATCATTCAGGAAATGTCCACTGGGAACATAGATTAATGTGACCTGACTCCAATTCTTCCTGAGATGAAAGAAGCCATGTGGACCATCAGTACAGGTGAAGAAACAGCTAGGTCCCCAGCGGATGTAAAAATTCCAACCCTGGGTTTCTCCCCTTTCTTATGAGAGACAGGGACATCGAAGGCTCTGCCAGGCCTTGTACTGAGTTCTTATGGAACTTTGGACTTGCCCCTCCTCCCCCTATAGCTCAGTCCTCTCTCCTTCCTCTTATTCCACCTGGAGGCCCCCTTCCACCTTTCTGTTTCTGCAGGAGCCAGCTGGGAGACTGAGGAGCCTCCACACCACCTGCCTTCCCAGCTTCCATGTTTGCCATCTTCAGTCTTAGAAACTGACCTTGCCTCCATGAACATCTAGATGCTGTACCTATAAACCCACCTGCTCTTGGCCATCCTCTTCCTCAAGTCCCAGACCAAGGGTACTTTCCCTGCTTTTTCTGGAAGCCAGCCCCTTCTATCTTTTTAGAAATTCCATCAATGTAGACAGTCTGCTTGGTAGTTAAGAGGTAGACTCTGGGCTCTGGCTGGTGTGGCCCAGTGCACTGAGTGCTGGCCTGCAAACCAAAGGGTCATGGGTTTGATTCCTGGTCTAGGGCACATGTCTGGGTTGCAGGCCAGGTCCCCAGTAGAGGGTGTGTGAGAAGCAACCACATATTGGTGTTTCTCTCCCTCTCTTTCTCCCTTCCTTCCCCTCTCTAAAATAAATAAATTTTTTTCAGTTAATATGTGTATTAAATTTTATTTTATTTTTTACAGATTTTTTATTTATTTATCTTTAGAGGGGAAGGGAAGGAGAGAGGGAGAGAAATATCAATGTATGGTTGCCTCTTGTGTTGTCCCCTGCTGGGAACTGGCCTGCAACCCAGGCATGTGCCCTGACTGGGAATTGAACCTCGATCATCTGGTTCGCAGGCCCATGCTCAATCCACTGAGCTACACCAGCCAGGGCTCTAAAATAAAGAAAAGAAAGAAAGAAAATAAAGAAAAGAAAGAAAGAAAGAAAGAAAGAAAGAAAGAAAGAAAGAAAGAAAGAAAGAAAGAAAGATGCAGACTCTGGTGCCATACTGACTGGGTTGAATCCTGGCTCTGACACTTATGAGCCATGAGACCATGACAAGAACTTAATGTTTCTGTGCCTCTGTTTCCCTGTATTATCTATCTCACAGGATTGTTGTAAAAGGGAGACTACACACACACACACACACACACACACACACATATATAATGTGTATGAATATTGTGTTGTCCTTTAAAATATAATCTGTATGCATATTGAATTGTCAGTTTCATCTCTCCTGTCTCTTCCACTGCCTCCTCCCATTATAAAAACAAAATAAATTTTAAAATCTACTTTGTCCATGTCATACCTCCTCTGGCTGTGAATCTCTCCATTCTGACCTTTTTACTCTGTAGTCACTTATGTCCCAGAGTGGGGAGAAAAATCTTTTTAAAAAACCCTTAAACAATTCTGTTATGCAGACTAGGAATCAGAGGCTTAAAACGAAGTCTAAGAAATGCCCCACCCAGGGTCACAGAGCTAATAAGTAACAGAACCAGGATTTGAGCACCTGGTCCGAGTGACTGGGAAGCCATAACTAACCCAGCACCTGCCATCGGGGATGCTGTAATGGAAGAGGGATGGCAGCCCCAAAGGATTAGTAAAGGCAGGCATTACAGACCCTTACAACTGGGCACGTGATGCTTTTGTGGGACCGTGCTGCCACCTGCTGGCAGAAAGGGAAGGGGGTGTACACAGAGTACTAAGACAGGAAGCTGGGGAGAAAAGAGTGGGGAGGGAGACAAGTGAGGAGAGATGAAGGGAGGAGAAGGATGGGGAATTTGAGGTTTTGTGAAGGGAAAAGGACTAGAAGCTGTTTGCTACTTAAAGGAGGGAGCAGAATCTGCAAAACCTCGGTCACTTCCTTGAAAGCGTGTGTGTGAGACAGAGAAGCTCTCCATGTATACCTCAGATGTTGCTCTGTTGTTTGTTAGTTTCTAGGAGTCGGCCCACACAGGGTTCAGTGTGTGTGTGTGTGCACGCTCGTGAACACCAGTAGGCCTTTATGTGTGTATCTGAGTGTGAGTATGTAGATGGCAGCTTGGGCAGATGATAATGCCTGTGAGCACATAGGGGACATATCTGCAGGTAGAGAGTTAGAAGTGTATGTGCACCATTGTGGTGGACGGCACTCAGAAGTTCTCAGGCCCCACCCCCAGATTTCTCTCCCTTCTCAGATCAGGAAGGGCATTGCCCAAGGCTGGTGTTGCCAGGCAGAGGCTGGCTGCTCCTGTGGCTATGGGGACAGCCACTGTGGGGACAGATCTCTAGGCAGCAGGGGGCAGCAGGGGCCAGAGGAGGCCTATGGGCTGGGGTGGAGCAGGCAGGCAGGCGGGCAGAAGGAAGCCTTTAAAACACCTGCCCCACCTGCAGGTGAGCAGTGTTGTGTGAAGTCCAGCTCCGTTGTCTCCCTGCCCACTCAGTGGCGGTTTCCTGGAGCTGTTTGTCTCCCTGGAGTCTCAGCAGATCCTTCTTTCAGAAGTCACAACCAAAGAGCCCTAAACAGGTAGGTGACGGCATAGGGTAAAGATTATCCTATGAAGGGAACTCAATCTAGAAGCAAGTTCGGGAAGAGTCTAGGGTTGGTGTGGGGAGGGGTTCAGGATATGTAGTGGCCAGGGAAGGGCATGAAGTGACCTATAGTGTGGGAGTTAGACTTGGGGTTCCAGTGGATGAACCTGGGGTGTTAAGATATCAGAGTAGCAGGTGCTGGTAGAGGGTCTGGGCAGTACAGAGAGGTAGGAGTGTCAGGATGAGCACTGGGAAATATCCTGAGGTGTCAGAACCATGTGTGGTTACATGGGTTCAGGATTCTGGCATCTGGTATGTTGGGGTCCAATGCCAGGGCCAGGGCTACCCTGGGGTTGTGGGGAGGTCCTAAGTCATCCATGTCTGTCTCTCAGGAGCCACCATGCAGTGCTACAGCTTCATTAAGACCATTACGATCGTCTTCAATTTTCTCATCTTTGTAAGTATGAGGGTTGTGGGCTCTCTGGGGCTCCCTACAGGAGTGGGTTACAACCTGAGTAGAGCTCAAGGTGGGAAATCAGAAACTGCACTGGGGCCCATGGTGGGGGGTTTCCTTATGTCGCCTAGTGAGGAAGGAAACTGGGGGGCCTCTGTATGATGGGGAGCTGAAGGAAGAGAAGGCCCAGAGACCACACAGCAGAAGGTCTTCCTCAAGCAGCCCTATTCATTCAACACACACTGATAGCCTAAGACTCAGTGCTAAGTGCTGGGGTGACAGGTGAGCAAGCTCTTTCTCTGCCCTGGAGGATCGCAGGTCCGGCAGGCAGACAGTGGCAACTGTAGTATTTCTGGCCTGAGCGCAGGGCCTATGGGAGCCCCTAGGAGGGGCTTGGACCCCTCTTGGGCAGAGAAGACTTCCTAGAGGATATAGCCAATGCTAGGGATTTGCCCTTCATGAGGGGGTTGTAAAGCATGCAGGAAGGCCCAGAGGCAGTGAAATCAGATATCACTCGGAAAACCAGGAACATATTGCGTAGGGCGTGTTTGAGGAAGCTTAGCAATGAGGCATAAACCCTGGAGATGGTGGTGGAGATGGGGAGAAATGTATGAAGTAGAAAAGCAGACAAAGGAGAAAACCCTGAGATGGTGGCTGAGGAATGGAAGAAGGTGCAAGGAAGACAGAGGTCTCAGAGATGATGTCCATGTCTCTGGAATGAGCAAGC